CACTTCATGAGATCTGGGAGAGACATCAGATAATGGTGAAAGAATGTTCGAACAATGACATGACCGAAGCAATGATCCAACAGACATTCTACCGTGGCATTAACATGACTAATTAGTGTGTAGTGAACCAGCTAGCACGGGGAAATTTTATGAACACACCTTATGCTGAGGCTTGTGATATATTGGATGAGATGACAGATACTTCCTCAGCTTAGCAAAGTCGAGCTAATGTGCCACAGGTGATCTGACTGTCATTCACCTGCATAAAGAACTCCACGACTATGGTCAGGCAATGACAGAGTTAACTACAACAATGAACCAGTTGGCAAAACCTCAATTGCAATAAGTTCAAGCGCTGAGACAAGTAAATGCTATGGAAGGTGTGAACATGTTGGTCAACAAGAGGCGACAAAGAAGTCAACAAGTTCAAGGTAGTCCAGATCAATATAAGCAGGGTAGTGGTGGTTTCAACCAAGATGATGGGTACGATGAGAAAAGTGAAAAAGTGCAGTACGTGAACAATTATCAAGGACAAAGGGGCAATGCTCCTAACCAACAACAACAATGGAGATCCCAAGGAAATTGCAAGAATCAAAACCAACAAGGAAATAGCAACTGGGGGAACAACAATCAGAATTAAGGCAATTAGAACAACCAGGGAAACTCGAGTGGCAACAACAACAATTGGGGAGGAAACAACAACCAAGGGGCTTGGAATAATAGCAATCATGGGAATAGGGGGCAAGACTTTCAAAGACCTCCGATGTATCAACAACCAAACAACCCGCCTCTATTTCTGTCCTAAGGTCCTAGCTCGTCAAACAATGAGATGGGAATGATCGAGATGATGTTTAAACAAATGATGAAACATAGTGCTGACTCTGATGCCCAGTTGGCATCCCATAATACTTCAATCTGAAACTTGGAGGTTCAACTTGGCCAGATTTCACAGTTTTTGAGTACTCACCCTAAGGAGGATCTACCTAGTGATACGTTAGTATACCTGAAGGGTGCGAACAATATTGGGCTTGCAATGGTGGTGATCACAAGAAGTGATTGAGGTGGTGATGTGAATACCTCCAAGAAAAAGGAAGTTGTGAGTGATGAGGTTGAAGTGCAAGATGATGATGTTCCTATAGTTGATAAGCAAGTGAGTGAAGAGAATTTGAATGCGAAAGTGAGAATTGATATTCATGATAATGAGGTGGAGACTCAAATGACGTGAACCCATCTAGGGAACACATAATAGACATACCGAAAATGGTAATGCCCAAGGCTAAGGGTCCCTTGCCAAGGACTCCTCCACCTTACCCTCAATGACTTGCGAAGCAAAAGAATGAAAACCAATTTAAGAAGTTTATTGAGATGATGAAAAACTTGTCGATCAATGTTCCTTTGGTGGAAGCTCTTGAGCAAATGCTAGGTTATGCCAAGTTCATGAAAGCCTTGGTGACTAAAACGAGATCCATGGATTGTGACACCATCAAAATGATTCATCAAGTAAGTGCAATTGTGCAATAGATGGCTCCAAAGCTTGAAATCCCGGTGCTTTCACCATTCCATGTACTATTGGGAGTACAGATTTTGCAAAGGCATTGTGTGATTTGGGAGCAAGTATCAATTTGATGCCTTAATCCGTGTTCAAAACTTTGGGTATTGGTCAACCGAGAGCTACTTCAATGATATTGCAAATACGGATAGAACAATAAAGAGGCCGCTTGGTATTATTGATAATGTTCTTGTTCGGGTGGATAAGTTTATTTTGCTTGCTGACTTTGTGATTCTGGACTGCAAGGTCGACTATGAGGTGCCGATAATATTGGGAAGACCTTTCCTAGCAAGTAAGTGTGTCAATGCTTTGCACGAAATGGGATCTTATTCTTATGAGCCCCGCAAGATCTCCTTGGATCTTGAGAACATAAAGACTCTGCCAACAAAGCCTCAATTGAGGAACCTCCCATTTTGGAGTTGAAGCAATTGCCTTCACACCTCAGGTATGAATTTTTAGGCCCTAGTATAACTTTACCTGTTATTCTTTCATCTTGTCTTACTAATGTGCAGGTAGATGCAACACTGGAGGTGCTCCAAAGAAGGAAGAAGGCAATTGGATGGACTCTAGCTGATATTCAGGGAATAAGCCCCACATTTTGCATGCACAAGATTATACTCGAAGATAATGCCAAACCCTCCGTAGAACATCAAAGGAGGTTGAACGAGGCTATATAAGAGGTTGTCAAAAAGGAGGTGATCAAGTGGTTAGTTGCAGGGGTTGTGTACCCCATCTCGGATAGTTCTTGGACTTCGCCGGTGCAATGTGTGCTGAAGAAGGGTGATATGACTATCGTTACCAATAAGCAAAATGAGTTGATTCCCACCAGGACTGTCACCAGATGGAGGGTGTGCATGGACTATCGCAAGCTGAATAAACTGACCCGCAAGGATCATTTTCCATTGCCCTTTCTTGACCAAATGCTAGATAGACTTGTTGGGCGTGCCTTCTACTATTTCTTGGATGGGTACTTAAGTTACAACCAAATTTTGATTGCTCTGGAAGACCAAGAGAAAACCACATTCACGTGTCCGTATGGCACCTTTGCATTTTCTAGGATGCCATATGGTTTGTGTAATGCACCGGCTACATTTCAGCGGTGTGTGATGGCTATATTTACCGACATGGTGGATGAATTCTTGGAGGTGTTCATGGATGATTTCAGTGTTGTGGGTGACTCCTTTGATGAGTGTTTGAAGAATCTTGACAAGGTGTTAGCTCGGTGTGAAGAGACAAATCTTGTGCTTAACTGGGAAAAATGCCACTTTACGGTCGAGAAGGGCATTTTCCTCGGCCATAAGATCTCAAAGAACAGAATAGAGGTGGATAAAGCGAAAATTGAAGTGATCTCAAAGCTTCTTCCTCCTACTTCAGTCAAGGGGAATAAGAGTTTTCTTGGGTATGCGGGGTTCTACCGAAGATTCATCAAAGACTTTTCTAAGGTAGTGAATCCTTTGTGCAAGTTATTGGAAAAGGAAGTAAAGTTTGTGTGTAATGATGAATGCACGAAGGATTTTGAACTTCTCAAGTACAAATTGACAACCACTCACATTATTACCGCACCCAATTGGAACTTACCTTTTGAGCTCATGTGTGACGCAAGTGATGTTGTGGTAGGAGCGATCTTGGGTCAAAGAGTAAACAAGATGTTTCACCCGGTGTATTATGCAAGCAAAATAATGAATGATGCTCAAGTGAATTACACGGTGATGGAAAAAGAGTTGCTAGCAATTGTGTTCGCAATGGAGAAATTTAGGCCTTATCTCATGGGTGCCAAGGTGATAGTTCATACTGACCATACAACACTCTGATACTTGATGACAAAGAAGGATTCTAAGGCTCGGTTGATGAAATGACTTATATTGCTTCAAGAGTTTGACCTTGAGATTGTTGATAAGAAAGGGAGTAAAAACCAAGTGGCGGACCACTTGTCCTGCTTGGAGGAGGAGGGGAGGCCCCGTGATGGCCTCGAAATTAATGATCCATTCCCTGATGAGCAACTCCTCTCTGTATATATGAATAGCATGCCTTAGTTCCCGGATGTTGCTAACTTTCTTGTGACCGGTATTGTTCTATATGAGATCTCTTCTAACCAAATGATGAAGCTTAAACGGTGTAGCTTGGACTATTGCTTGGATGAGCCTTATTTGTTTTAAATATGTAATGATGGTATGATCTGGAGATATGTTCCGGAAGAAGAGCAAGTGAATATTCTGGATGCTTGGCATTTCTCCCCCTACGGTGGTCATCATGGTGGGGCGAGGAAAGCTTCAAAGGTGCTTTGTTGTGATTTTTAGTGGCATACATTGTACAAGGATGCGGGGGTTCTTATGAAGAGATGTGATGAGTGTCAGAGAGCAGGTGGAATTTCAAAGAAGGATGAAATACTTCTTACCACTATTCGTGAGGTTGACATATTTGATGTGTGGGACATTGACTTCATGAAAGCCTTTGTGAGTTCATGTGGCAACACATAAATTCTAGTGGCCATTGATTATGTTTTCAAATGTGTTGAGGCCGTGTCTTTACCCAACAACGAGGCCCGAAGTGTGGTTGCTTTTCTCAAGAAGAATATCTTTACTCGGTTTTGCACTCCTAGAGCAATCATCAGTGATAGGGGTTCTCATTTTTGCAATAAGGCATTTGACAGGTGTCAATCACAAGGTTTCAACCCCTTACCATCCTCAAGCTAGTGGGCAAGTTGAGGTCTCCAACAAGGAGATTAAGAGCATATTGTCAAATACTGTCAATGCAAATAGGACCAATTGGTCAAAGAAACTAGATGATGTTTTGTGGGCTTAAAGGACTGCTTACAAGACTCCGATTGGTATGTCTCCGTACCGGTTGGTGTTTGGGAAAACTTGCTGTCTCTCAGTTGAGCTAGAGCACAAGGCCATGTGTGCTTTGAGGAAGTTAAATCTTGAATGGGATGTTGCAACAAATCTTCGGGAGGAGCAACTCAATGAGCTCGATGAGTTCCGATTCCATGCCTATTCTAGCTCATCCTTGTATAATGAAAAGATGAAGTACTTACATGACAAGTATGCCCATAGCAAGGAATTCAAAGAAGGTGACTTGGTTCTCTTATTCAACTCCGGTTACGACTATTCCCGGGAAAGGTTAAGTCAAAATGGAGTGGACCTTTTGAGCTGGTGCTTGTAACTCCGTTTGGTGCTCTTAATTTGAAAAACAAAAATGGTGAAATCTTCTGAGTTAATGGGAATAGAGTGAAACACTATCTTGGCAAGTTTGGTGATAGACACATAGTGGCAATGATCCATCTCAAATGATTGATGGTAACCTGCGTCGTGCCGCCACGTTAAATCAGGCGCTTCTTGGGAGGCAACCCATGTGTTTTTATTTTTTTGTTTATATTTTATTCTTAGTGTAGGCTTTATTTTGAACTAACTGGTTGTGAGATGTGTGTAGGAATGTTTGATACAATGCAGGACTAAGCTTGAAAAATTGTGCAACAGTCTGAAGTTGGACCGCTGACAGCGCTCCATTTTCCGCTGTCAGCAGTGGCCTTATCGCGGAGGCAGAAATTGGCGGCGTACGCAGTTTTGAAAAGTCCAAAATGAGTCTTCTCTGAAGTTTTAACCGCGTTTGCGGTACATTCTATGCGGTCAGCGGTGCCTAATCGCGGTAGCGTACCATTTACCGCACTCAGCAGTAGTTTAAATCAAACAAGTCTTCTGTTCTTCACAAGCGCAGACCGCGGTGATTTACCGTGGCTGCGCCAGATAAGTATTGTGGATCCTAGGGTATTTTATATAAGTAGGAGTTCAGGAAGCCTTTTACACTTTTCGCTCATTTGACTTTCACAGTAAAATTATCACTAGTCATCCATGCCCTAATCTGCAGAACACAAAATTAAAGTCCATTTTCATCGCACATTACACATCTGGTAATTTCACTCCTTCATTATTCTTTAATTTTGTATTTGTCTTTCTTTTAATTGTTAGTTTTTACTTCTTCTTCTTCTTCTTTTCTTTTAAATTTTGACCTAAGGGTTCATTAGTGCTAATTAAATTAGGCTTAAAATAGTTAGAATTTATTAATGAATACCTAGTGGGGTTAACAATGTAGATGATATTGCTAGTGGCCCTATAACACTATACCACTATAGTGATTCCCTATCACTATAGTTTTGGCATCGTTGCAAAAAATAAGTGATCACGTCCAACCCTATGCCATTATAGAGTGGTAAGAGCGGTCGATGCAGCTTTTACCTGAAAAGTCGGTATCGAATCCACATAGAGCTAAGATATGTTTGGAATTGGGTTCCTATCTAATCTAGCAATGTGCGATGTTCTTAATTGCACTTCAAATCATTCTTTGTTTGTTTACTATTCTACTTTAATACTAATGATGCAGGAAAATAAGCTAAGTATGATATTTTTGTATGGTTTTCTTAATTGGTCTAAAGGCACTAAGGAAGTGACTTACACCTAGGCGGGTATCTAACGGGGTCTAAAACTTAGGGCAAACTTGTTATTATTGGGATCATGATATAGCCATTGCACGTAACTACTCACTCTATACCTCTTGGTAGTTTGAATGACTTTGCCCTAATTGACTTTCTCAAGCCCAATTGGGTGTCAAACAATGCAAGCAATTATGGCTCAAGTCGGGTATTACTATCTCTAGGTTTAACCCTTTAATTAGGGCTATTAATATCTTGAATGCACCCCAATTCCTTGTTGGTCTGAATTTCCTAGACTTAGTCTCTCTTTCTCAAGAAGAGCCTAAGTCAAAAAGGCACAAATCAGTGTTTGCAACCACCAATTCAACATTTAAAGCATAAATCAAGCCAAATATCATTCACCCATAAACATTTAAGCCCTAGAATCGAAGACCCATTAAATACCCACACTAGGGTTGAGCCACAACCCTAGCTAATGGATTTAGCTACTCATAATCAAAGAAGAAATCAAAGATTTAGATGAAATATTGTCACGACCCAATTTAGGATTGTGACCGGCGCTTAGGAGCAAGTGCTCCCAAATAAGCCTCATTGGAAATTTTATAGAAAATCGGACAAAGTTTCCCCTGTTTTTAGACCATCCCAAAAATTTTCCTGTCTCAAATCAACAACCAAACATCCTAATATCATACCAAACAATTGACAGCTTGTCAATTAACCAATACAAGTCTCTACTATAACTAAACCACTAAGTAACCACTAGAAAATACTAATTTATCTCCAACTTTGATAAATAAGAACGATACTCAACATAAGACTATAATAACGAAAAAATACTTATGACACTAAAATAATGACTATGGAGCGACTCTAAGAGTTCAATGAAAAAACCATAACAATAAATAAAATCTCTGCCCACGCGAACAAGTGCAAGACTCACCGAGAAATATCAATTTGTGCGCTTTAACTAACGAAATCCTCGCCTGCGTCAACTGTTGTCTCTAAGGAATGAGTCGCTAGCTCAGTGAGTAATAGCACTTAACCACAACCGTTTTTATTTGGGGGACAAGATAGAAACATGCTAGTATCTCAAAGAGAAAATAACATAAAAATGCCCTTTCAGAAACAATAATTAATTTTCAGTCTCATCATGTTCTTCTTGTAGTATAATACATATAATAATTTAGTAATAAGCTCAGTAACCACTGTACAATATCAATATTCACATTTGAGAGGTTTCAATGAACGGATCATGTAATCGGTATGACTGTGGACTTATTCGCAAGAAGTCAAATATGACGGTAGTCCCTACTCGAGGGAAATCAGTAACGGTATGCTAGTTCTACCTTCCCACTAGCGAGGGCTATAATGGTAATCTGTAATTATAAGGTACACCAGGTTTAACGAACCCGCTATTAGCTACGGGATCCTTCAATGTCTACTCCCATTTATACTTGTCTCTGTAATCCGTATATACCCATAGAAAATATTTTAAAACAATATAGGGCATTTCGGTTCTTATCAAATCATATAATTTCTTTTTGATAACAATAAATTCAAGTAACGGTAAAACAGATCTAGTGACAACGAAAATATTTAAAACAACGGTAATCTTCTCAAGTAACTATTTCGATATCATATCGAGTAAAAAACTTGTCCCACATGCAACTTAAAATAGTCGGTAACATATTCATATTAAAAATCATGTGTAAATCATGCAAGTTATGAAAACACAAATTGCGGTAAGATTACTACTCACTGTACTCATGTTGAAATATCAAACTCGTCACCTCGAGCGATCTGTACGATTTTCTTCAATCAATCTATAATCGCATCAATATCGATCTTGTGTTAATTTCTTTGTTTAAGCTAATTCATAGCTAATATAGATTACCCAAATCCTCAGAGTTTTATGTTCTACCATCAATTTGCCGAATTATAGTTATCCATACTATAAGTAATTTAAATAGTCTATAACCTATCAATTTCAACTTACTCGTATATTTATTCATCAATATTTTTCTTTTATCCCAGATTATGCCAAACATATGTATAAATCTAAATCATTAAGGATCATTGTCAATAATAATATCTTTTGTACATACACTGAGATGATAATCTTAACCAAATTGAAGTAAGAAAATTTACCCTCTAAATTGAAAAATAATGCTTTCAACAAAAGCCTTTGAATCTCTGTTTGGTCCTATAATTTATTGATACTACTATATACAAAGGACATTAAGAATTTGATTTATTTTCATATGAAACTGTTTCTTGTCCTCATGTAGTGCCTTACAAGCATTCGAGTTTCTACACTAGACTAAATTGTTTGCTATAAGATTAATAAAATACTTATTCATCTAATGAGAATCCATGTTCATACTAAATTAAAAGTAACTTAAATTTTTTTGTTTCTTCCCTTAGTTAACAAAATAATCACTAATATTATGCTAAGTATTGAGTAAAAGAAATCTCATATAGATTACCATGGAAAAAAAATTAGTTCAATTACCTAACTTATTTTCCTCCTCCGTAAATTTGTTTGCTAGAAAAGAGCAAACCAACTTTGTGATTTTACCTTCGATGCTTCTATTCGTTTTTGCTTCTGCCGAGTTGAATAGCTTGCCCCCAATTCCTTTGTTTAGTTAACGTAGGGCTTTGACCCCAATTCATCTCTTATTGTATTTTTTTGTTGCAAATTACTTAACTACCTTATTTTTTTAATTTTTTTTAATGAGGAGTATTACATTTTCCTCGCCTTATAAAATTCAGTCCCCGAATTTAACTCAAGTACATACCTGTAGACTGAAACAAATGGGGGTACTTGACTCGCATATTATCCTCTATTTCCCAAGTAGCTTCTTCAACGGCATGATTTCTCCATAAAACTTTTACGAACACAATTTCTTTTGACCGTAGCTTTCTTACTTGTCTATCAACAATTGCCATCGGCTCTTCCTCGTAAGACAACTTCTCATCTAGCGGTATAGTTGGTGCTTCAAGTACCTGCGATGAGTCTGATATACATTTTCTTAGCATTGAGACATGAAACACTGGGTGAATAAAAGATAACTCAGGAGGAAGTACCAAATGATAAGCCACAGCTCCCACTCGATCTAGTATCTCATACGGTCCCATAAACCTGGCTCATCTTGCCTCTTTTCCCAAATCACATCACACCTTTCATAGGAGAGACTCGTAAGAACACTTTGTCTCCAATTGTGAATACTAAATCTCTTCTTCTCTTATCAGCATAAGACTTTTGTCTACTTTGAGCTGTAAGCAATCTATGTCTGATCAACTAGACTTTGTCCATAGCTTCTTGTACTTTGTCAGGACCCAATAAGTTAGTCTCACCAGCTTCAAACCATCCGATAGGAGAACGACATCTTTTACCATCCAATGCTTCATACGGTGCCATTTAAATACTGGACTCGAAGCTATTGTTGTAAGCAAATTCAGCTAAAGGTAGATAAGTGTCCCAACTACCTCCAAACTCAAGAATGCAAGCTCTCAACATATCCTCCAAGATCTGAATAGTACGTTCAGACTGTCCATCTGTCTGTGGATGATATGCAGTACTAAGATCTACTCGTGTACCCAATGCTTCTTGAAAAGATTTCCAAAAGCGTGAAGTGAACCATGATCCTCTATCAGAGATGATGGATACTAGAACTCCGTGAAGTCGGACAATTTCGTTCATAAATATCTGTGCATACCTGACTCCACCATATGTAGTCTTTACCGGCAAAAAGTGTGTTGATTTCGTCAGTCGATCTACAATCACCCATACAATATCATAACCTCTAAGGGTTCGTGGTAACCCGGTTACAAAATCCATAGTAATTGTTTCCCATTTCCACTCTGGAATCTCAATTTGTTGTAGTAGTCCTGTGGGTCGCTGATGCTCAGCCTTGACTTGCTAACAAGTCAAACAACTAGAAACAAAGTTAGCAACATCTTTCTTCATACCTTCCCACCAATAAAATTACTTCAGGTCGTGGTACATTTTTGTAGATCCAGGATATATAGTGTATTTAGTGTTGTGAGCTTCTTTAATAATAGCATGTTTCAATCCATCTACGTCTGCCACACATAGCCTATCACCCATTCGAAGAACACCATCACTTTCAACAATCATATCCTTGTTTTTACCAACTAAGGCCTTATCCCTGTATTTGCGTAATCGTTCGTCCTCATATTGGGTGGCCTTAATGCACTCAACTAATGAAGACTTAGCCTGAGCACAAGCCAACAATGCCTTTGAATTTCCGACACTAAATCTGATACCTATATCTTCTAGTCTCTGAATATCTTTAGCCAAAAGTCTCTTTGCAGGGGCTATATGTGCCAAACTCCCCATAGATTTTCTGCTCAATGCATCAGCCACCACATTGGCTTTTCCAAGATGATATAAAATAGAACAATCATAGTCTTTGAGTAGTTCCATCCACCGACACTGCCAAAGATTCAGATCTCTCTACTGAAAGATATACTTCAGACTTTTATGGTTGGTATAAATCTCACAAGTTTCGCCGTATAGATAATGCCTCCAAATTTTTAGAGCAAATACCACTGCAGCCATCTTCAAATCATGTGTAGGATAGTTTTGCTTGTGCTTTTTCAATTGTCTCAAAGCATAAGCAATAACACGATCATTTTGCATGAGAACACATCCTAATCCACCCTCGAGGCATCATAGAATACTGAAAATCCTACAGAACCTGATGGTACAGCTAATATTGGTGCAGTTGTCAGACACGTTTTGAGTTTCTGAAAACTCTGCTCACATTCCTCCGTCCACTGATTGCATTTTTCTGTGTTAGCTTGGTCTGTGGCGCTGCTATTCTGGAGAAATCCTGCACAAAACACCTGTAATAGCCTGTTAAAACTAAAAAGCTGCGAATCTCTGTAGGAGAAGTAGGTTTGGGCCATTTCTGCACAGCTTCGGTCTTCTTAGGATTTACCATAATTCCATTTTTGGATATAACATGCCCCAAAAATGCTACCGAGTCTAGCCAGAATTCACACTTCGAGAACTAAGCATAAAGTCGATGTTCTCGCAATGTCTGCAACATAGTCCTGTATCGAGTTCTGAATGTAGTCTTAGAAATATCTTCATCTTTGATTCTAAGTTGATGATAACCAGAACGGAGGTCAATCTTTGAAAAGTGGGCAGCTCCTTGTAACTGATCAAACATGTCATCTATATGAGGCAAAGGATATTTATTGCGTATTGTTATCTTGTTCAACTGCCTGTAGTCAATGCACAATCTCAGGGATCTGTCTTTCTTCTTTACGAACAGTACTGGTGCACCCCATGGTGATACACTAGGTCTAATAAAACCCTTATCTAACAAATCTTGTAACTATTGCTTTAGCTTCCTCAACTCTGCTGGTGCCATTCGATATGGGTTGTGTGTCAGGTGGAAAATCAATACCAAAGTCTATTTCTCGTATTAGAGGCAATCTTGGTAAATCCTCAGGAAATACATTAGAAAATTCTCTCACTACTGGTATATTTTCTATACTAACTGTTTCCTTTCTTGTATCATTTACAATAGCTAAGAGACCCAAGCAACCCTTCTTCAGAAGTCGTTGAGCCTTTATAAAAGATACAATTTTGCAAGTCTCTGGAACCTGACTCCCTCCTAGAATAAAGCTGGATTCATTTGGTATCTCAAACTTAACTATCTTTGCATGACAATCGACTATAGCATAGCAAGAAGATAACCAATCCATTCCCATCAGTATGTCAAAGTCAATCATATCAAGTACAATAAGGTCAGCTAGAGTATTTCTACCTCAACCCGAATCTAACAAGCACGATACACGTATTCAGCTAATAGTGACTCTCCAACAGGAGTAGCAACTAGAAAAGGATCATTCAATAGCTCAGGTTATCTACTAAATCTCAAAGCAAAGTATGAGGACACATAGGAGTGAGTAGATCCCCGATCAATCAACGCAAGTGCACCAAATGAACATACACAAAGAATACCTGTAACGACAGTATTCCAGACCTGAGCATCCTGTCTAGTAAATGCAAAAACTCTCACCTGACCTCTACCAACATTTCCTTGTCCTTGATTCATAGTAGCACGGTCTCCAACACCTCGACCTCTATTTCCTGCACCTGTAGCACCTAAAGTATTAAGAGTAGTCTGAGTTGGTACAACTGACTGAATCCAAGCCTGGTTGAAATTTCTCGGAGGTTGAGGGAAATCCCTCAAGTGATGTCCCAACTGGCCACACCGAAAGCACTCTCCATTTAGAACACGACATTGGTCCAAATGTGATCTACCACAAGTTTGGCATACTGGAGTAGTGGCATATATCTGCGCAGAATTACTATGTCCAGAAGATGATGGTCTCCTATTACATTGTCTGTAATGTGGTCTGTATGTGGACTGTGAAGACATGTGTGTCCCTGTCTGAGAACCCTGTTGTTGTTGTTGTCCCTAATTTCCTGCTCTTCTATTTTCACTAAAACTACCACTAAAAGCCCCTCCTGTCTTGGCCTTCTTACGTAAATCACTAACTGCATGCTCCTCACGTCCCTTGTTTTCAATCTTTCTAGCAAGGTTGACTATATCAGAGTAGGATAAAGTCTTCATCTATGAGGCTACTGCAGTGTATAGACGACCAACCAATCCATCAACAAACCTCTGAACTCGAGCTTCTTCGGTAGGCACCAAGTGAGGAGCATATATAGAAAGCTTAGAGAACTTAGTGTTATATGTTGACACATCCATATCTGGAGTCTGAACCAATCTCTCAAAGTCTTTAGCATATTGTTTCATCAGACTGTCTGGAAGAAAATGATTCTTGAACAACTTAGTGAACTCGTCCCATGTCAGTGGTAGTGCTCCTGCTGGCCTTCCTAGACCGTTTCATACCATGTGTTGGCCATATCCTCTAGTTTGTATGCTGCGAGCTCCACGGCTCTCTCACTAGAACATCCAAGAGCACTTAATACCTTAAGTGTCCTATCCAAGAAACTTTAAGGATCTACTGAATTATCGAAACTTGTGAATTTTGGTGATTTCAATTTCAAAAACTCTTGTAGGGATACTTCCTTTTTCCCGAAAGTAAGAGTCTGTGGAGGTGCTTGTGTCTGTAAAGTAGCCTAAGGAGCTGAACTTCCACCCTGAGTAGGCACCAATGCCTCTAACACATTCAATAACCTTGCCACTGCATCAGCAGGTAAGGCAACAGTAGGTACAATAGTTGGCACTGGTGGTGGAGCATTCTGAACTCCCTACTCTTGCACTTGATTTGGCATAACAGCTTGGGTTTGACCCATGTTCCCAACTTGAGGTTGAGAGGCAATCTGTCTTCTATTTTGATGAACCCAACTTGACCGCCACCCCGAGTAGCACCACGTCCAGCAGATGAGGGTGTGCGTGTCCTAGCCATCTACGAAAGAAATATTCCAAAGTCAATCTCAAGTTATCTCAACGCACGATCAAAGAATGAAAGAAGGGAAAACATTTCTAAATGTTCAGTAGCCTCGAGATCATAAGTATGGGTGCCTACATACCCATGAACAAGACTCTACTAAACATTGCTCCATGACTCGGGACTTAAAGCCTAAGCTCTGATAAATATAACCCATAAAAGGTAATTACAAGAGAATAATGTAAGATTAATGATTAACCAAGCTCTAAAATTACTCAAAAAGGCTAAAAACGACTGTTCACTGTGCTCTTCTAAATAACAAATGACCTAAAATTTTGAAAAAGAACTATTTATACACAGCTAAATGTTTCTAACAAAAATGACCCAACAGAGGTTCTGCTGACAGCGAAAAATGGACAACTGTAGCACTATAACTACCACGACCGCGCAAAAGCAAGTGCGAAGCGCGATATTCAATTGTTAGCTCCACTTTGGTTCTATGAATCTCGCTTCCGCCGAGGGCTGTAACTTGACCACTGCCGCGTCAGAGACACCGCTATCGCATAATTTCACCGTGGACAGTGGTAACTTGTTAAGCCCAAAACATCACTCTCTGAACTTTGCCACCGCTGAGAGCGTAAACAAGACCGCCTAAGCGGTGGACCCTCTGCGTCCGCGTCAGTTTCTTCGTTGTCAGCCCTCTTTTGACTCAGCTTTGAACTTGTGCAGGTTTCACTCCTTTTTGAGCTGGTTATGACTTCCTTGTCTCTTTTTGACCAAACACTGCAAACAAGCACAATAAGTTAGCTTTCGGGAATACTTGTACACACTTTTAATCCAAAACCTAAGAAAAAAGAAGCATAAAATAGGCTAGAATCTCTAGTCATCAACTTCCCCAAACTTAAACTTTTTATTGTCCTCAAGCAAACAAAGTAATTCCCACCTCCTCAAGATAAAAGAAAGAAAAATTTCAGCAGTCCTAAAGTAACCGCATCAAGAATCAATTGGGACTAACAATTA